TGCAAAGCCACATGAGTGGAGCTGTAAGGCCATGGGAGCCCACCTTTTGCATCAGCATTACCTGGATATGAGACAAGGAGTTAAAGGAGATCATTTAAGAGCTTTAAGATTTGACTATTCCACTGGATTTCAGGCTTGCATGGTGCCCTTCATTTTGGCCAGTTTCCCCAGTTTGGAACAGGTATATTTACCCACTGCCTGTACCTGCATTGTAACTAAAAAGTAACTAACTTGGTTTTGATTTTACAGGCTCATAGGTGGAAGGAACTTGCCTTGTCTCAGATGAAACTTTGGACTTGGACTTTTGGGTAATGCTGGAATTAATTAAAACTTTGGGGGACTGTTAGAAGGTATGATTGGTTTTGAAATATGAAGAAACATGAGATTTATGAGTGGTCAGGGGAAGAATGATATTGTTGATATTGTATACTTTGTGGCAGTTTCCCCCATGCTGTTCGCATGATAATGAGTGAGTTCTCATGCAATCCGATGGTTTTAAAAAGGGCTCTTTTTCCCTTCACTTGAGAAGGTGTTTGCTTCTCTTTCTCCTTCTTCCCTGATTGTTAGTTTCCTGAGGCCACCCCAGCTATGTGGAACTGTAAGTCAATTAAACCTCTTGCCTTTATAAATTATGCAGTCTTGGGCAGTTTTTAGAGTAGTATAAAAATGAACTAATACAGATTCCATAAGATTACAGTGAAGCTGAAAAATTCCTATTGTCTAGAGATGTTATAGTCATTGTAATTTCATAGCACAATGCATTACTCACATATTTGTGGTGATGCTTTTGTAAGCAAACCCACTGCATTGCCAGTTATATAAAAGTATAGCATGTACAATTATGTTCAGTAGATAATACTTTATAATGATAATAAACTGCTTTGTTACAGATTTCTATAATGACTGTACTATACTTTTTATTGTTATTTTAGGCTGTACTTTTATTTATTAAAAAAAGTTAATTCTTAAACAGCCTCAGCAGGTTTTCCAGCAGGTATTCCAGAAGAAGACATTGTCATCATAGGAGGTGATAACTCTATGAGTGTTACCGTCTCTGAAGACATTCCAGTGAAACAATATGTAGAGGTGGAAGATGGCGATATTGATGATCCTGACCCTGTGTAGGACTAGGTTATGGTATATATTTGTCTTAGTTTTTAATAAAAGACTTTAGAAAATGAAAAGAAATTTCCATTTAAAAACAGAAAGTAAACCTTATACAATAAGGATATAAAGAAAGAAAATATTTTAATACAGTTGTTTTATTAAGTTGCTTAACATTTAAGCTATATAATAATGTGTTCGTGTTTTGAGCTAGTTCTTATTCCAAAAAAACTAAAAGTTACAAAAGAAAGTTTATAGAGTAAAAAAGCTACAAAAGCTAACGTTTATTTTAGATGCACAGATGCTTACCATTGTGTTACAATTGCCTACAGTATTTAGTACAATAACCTGCTGTACAGGTTTGTAGCCTAGGAGCAATAGCTATACCGTATAGACTAGGTATGTAGCAGGTTATCTCATCTAGGTTGGTGTAAGTATATTCTATGATGTTCACAAGAACAAAATTTTCTGATGATGTACTTTTCAGACTGTATCTCTGTTGTTAAGTGATGCATGACTGTATTCCATTATCTTATTTATATGTGGAATGTTTTAAAAATACAAAGTATTTGAAGCAGAGAATAGAATAGTGGAAAGCAGGGGTTGGGGGGTAAGGGAAATGGAAGTATGTTGGTCAAAGGGTATATAGTTCAGTTATGCAAGATGAATGAGTTCTGGAAATCTAATATACAGCAATGTGGCTTTAGGTAATAATACTGCATTCGTATACTTGAAATTTGATGGGACAGTAGATCTTAAAGTTCTCATTATTATGGTAACTATGTGAGGTGAAGGATGCCAATGAATTGTGATAATCATTTCACAATGTATACATGTACCAAAACATCACATTGTATGCTGTAAGTATGTAACATTTATGTTGCCAACTACACCTCAGTAAAGATGAGAAAAAAGATCAGTTAAAAAAAAGAAATGTGTAGAATAATATGTTAAATACCAAATTCAGGATAGTGGTTCTCCCTGTTGGTTATGGTTAAGAAGAGTTGGTATTATATTAGGGAGGAGTGCCCAGGACACATCCACCATATAGGAAATGTTTTATTTTTAAATGTAAATTTCTTTATTTTTTATATGTCTCCTTATTTTAAATATTTAAGAAAAAGGTATAAACATGCAATAAAAATATAACAGATAAAAAAATCCAGAAGGCCTTTTTGGGCTACTGTAATAAAATACCATAAATATTTCTCATAGCTCTAGAAGCTAGAAAGTTCAACATCAAGGTGCAGCCAATTCAGTGTCTGGTGAGGCCCTGCTTTCTGATTCTGATTCTTTCTGTGTCCTCCCATGGCCACAGTACAGAGACAGCTCTCTGAGGCCTCTTATTCAGTACAGTAACCTGCTGTACATGCTTGTATCCTAGGAGCAATAGGCTATACCCTGTAGCCTAGGTACGTAGTAGATTATCTTATCTAGGTTTGTGTATGTACATTATATGATGTCCACAAGTACTAAGGGCACTTACCCCATTCACGAGGGCTCTTCCTCATGACCTAATCCCCTTCTACAGCTGCCACCACCTATGAACATCCCATTGATGATTGGGTTTCAACATCTGAATTTGGGGGCATACATTCAGACAACAGCACCCCAATTTAATAAGTTCTACCTAAGGGGACAAAAAGAAGTAATAATCAAGAGTGCTGGCCAGGTACGGTGGTTCATGTTTGTAATCCCAGAACTTTGGGAGGCTGAGGCGGGTGTATCACCTGGCGTAGGGAGTTTGAGACCAGCCTGGTCAACATGGTGAAACCCCATCTCTACTAAAAATACAAAAATTAGCCGATCATACTGGGCACCTATAATCCCAGCTACTCAGGAGGTTGAGGCAGGAGAAGCACTTGAACCTGGGAGGTGGACCTGGGAGGTAGAGGTTGCAGTGATCCGAAATTGTATCATTGCACTCCAGCCTGGGCAACAAGAGCAAAACTCCTTCTCAAGACAAACAAACAACAACAAAAAACCCAAAAACTCTTAAAAAATTACATGAAATAAGATGTAAAAATAATGATTATTCATTAATATGTAGGTCATTGGTGAATGTTACTAGTGCTGCTTTGGTACCATGATACATATACATATATGACTGTACATAAAAATGAATATATGTGTATAAATATACATGTAAGTATATTTTTATAATTTCTCTCAGAGATTATACATATTATGTTATAATTACTTTTTCTAAATTATTTATTTATTTATTTTCTAAATTATTTAGTAAACATTTTTATTGTTTACTGTGTTACTCTAATCCTGACTGTGTAACCTTGGAGAAATCACTTAATATTTCCATATACAATTCTTTTCACTTCTCAAATCAAGTCATTTAGAGTATTTCTTTCATAAGATTAAACAATGATTTGTAAACCTTATATTACTCTTGATCTCATTAGCCTGTTTTTTTCTTTGCAACTCTTATCACAATTGGATATTATTGTATTTATTTATGTAAAATTCATAAAAATAGTTTCAAGATTTTTAAATGCTTAGAATGAAAATCACTGGTGCCAGAATGGGTGTAGTAGTAAAACCCATTGATTTCCGGGATCAGTAGCCTCCTGTGTGACCTTGAACATGTTACTTGAACTCTATATGACTAATTTCCTCATCTGTAAAGTGCAAATCATAATTATTGTAATAATATACATCACCTAAAATATTTTTATGCTTATTTTTCACTTGGAATGCTTTTGAACTCATTTTTTGTTACTGGATAAACCGTCTTAAGAAGTTTTTGCTACATACTCTGTGCTCCCATTATCAGTTTATGAGGGTACTCATTTTTCTGCATTCTCAGGCCAATATATAACATTATCAATTACATAAAAACATTTAAAATTTTGGAAATCTTGTAGGTATCTTTTTATTTTAGCTTCTTTATTCATGAGAGTCAATTTTATTTTAACACACATTTATTGTGTCTTTAATTCTTTCTTTTGCAAATAATCTGTTTATTTACTATATATGCTCCACATACTTTGTATTGGAATACAGAATTTTTTCTTTTCATTGTGAGAACTCTTATGAAATAATAACGTTCACCTTTTATGTATCATTTATGTTGCCAATGTCTCCACCTTTTGTCATTTATCATTTTATTAGACATATTATGATGTTCATGCATGTTTTTTACTCAAATGTTAAATATTTATATAGTAAAAATTTTAAATTTTCTTCTCTTTTGTAATGATAGGCCTTATTCAATGTAAGATTATAGCAAGATGTATGTATATTTTCTCCTAACACTTTTGAAACTTTCTATCTTGGAATAATTTTGACTTTCAAAATGTTATAAAATAATATGAAGAATTCCCAGCCTCCTTGAATGTTAACATTTTACTACATTTGCTTTATTTTTTCTCTCTATTTACATTAGGCATGATTTCTAATGCTTTTACTGTCTGGCTTTTTCATTAAAAATTTAACCTGTATACTTTATTTTCTTATATGGTATAAATTAGATGCCTAACTTCATTTTTCTTTCTCAGTCATTAGCAACTTGTTCCAAAACTATCTTTAAATAATTCATCTCCATATTCACATGGTCACATTTACCAAATATAAAAAATGTATATTCTTTCATATTTGTTCCAGGATTTTGTGTTCTGATCGATTTATCTGCCTATTTTGACAACAAAATTGCATACTTTTAATTGTTTTAGTTCAATAGGGGAATATCCCCTTATTACTTACCTTCAGAATTATCTACGCTAGTCTTATATATTTAATCTGTTAAACAAATTTTAGAATTTTTTTTTCATTTCAATTTATCCAAAAGAATATGCATTGATATGTTTATTTAAATTACATTATATGAATATATAAATTTGGGGGAAATTTACATAGTGACATTGTTGTATGTTTCTCTTCAGGAATATGATAAATCTTTTCCATTCAAATTATGAGGACTTCAGTGCCATATTTGGAAAAAAATTCAGGTTCCATTTTTACCCAATTCTGAAGAGGCTGACCCAGAAGACTTCTCAGTGAAAGGGAATGCCAAGTATTTCCTCCTTGTGCCTAGTCCTCAATCTCTCCTTCACATTTATATCTTTCCAGTCTGAATTCCAACCCTTCATTCTTCTAGTCAGTCTACTTGTTCTGGAAGTCATCCAGTGTCTTCCCTCCCTTGTCTACTTTGTTGAAGAGAAGCATAACTTGAAGTTATTTGTTAAGGCTATGAATGAATTTGTAAGTAATGTACTATGACACGGCATAGAGAAAAACTCATTAAATATGACACATTATGTCATATATAGTTAGGAAATAACCAGACTTTGACTTGACCAAGAAACATATAGCTTGACTAAGGTACTATTTTTCTCATGCTCAGTAAATTTAACAATTGTAAATTATTGCCAGTGAAACAATTAATTAATTTGGTCAAAACACCATAGTCGTCTGATGCCTGACCCTTGGGCAGTTAGGATAATGGTAGGTATCTCATGAGGGGCGTTTGGGCTTGAGATTAGTTCAGATATCAAAGGCATGCTCCAGGGATACTTCTTTGGTATCTCTAGGAATTAGCTAGCCTTGGTCTCAAGGCCCCAGATGTCAACACATCAGATACAGAAACTATTTAATAGAAAACATGGATAATGCAGTTGGCAAACTGCAATTATCTCTTTTTACACATTTGCAGGCAAAGCAATTTATATACAGATGAAGTTGTTGAAAATCTCCCCTGATGAAGGTTTCTAGCAGCAACTATTCATTTGAGTTAAGCATTGATCTCCAAGTTGAAATATTTAGAAATCGGAAATATTCTATTAAAATTTAACTTATCCAAGACTAATACCTTTGTGCTAGTTATTTAGTTACAGCTAGTTTTCTTTGTGATTTCAAGAGTGTAGCTGAAACAGAGCTACTCAAGAAGGTTGATGATGAAGAAAGAACCAGAGTGGAGATACTGAAGTCATATTTGGTCCTTTCACTATTCTTTAGAAAGTGTGCCTTCTTTTTAGAAGTGGTTTTATGCTGTGACGTTAATCGTGGAACTTGCCTCCTGCTGACAATGAACACTATGTTCATTGAAAATAAGTGCTTTTTACTTCTTGGTAGCAGTCATACTTTATTCAGGGTTGCATTTTCAGTGCATTTGCACAATGACTGGCGTACATTTGGTGCACAGTAAGTCTTTTTGACTGAATAATTACAAATATGCAAATAATATATATGAGACTCATATGTCTGTTCTCTAACACTTCGCTAAGCAGTTTCTTTACTAATTGTCCAGTCTACTAGTATTTCTCATGTGAAATCTCCTAGTTTCCATACTCTTACAGTTCGTTCTAAGTCAGAGAGTAGGGAATAGTGTGACTATTATAGTATCTGTGAATTTGAGCACTAACAGAGAGTACTGATGTAGCACTATTTGACTCAGTTTACAATTATTTTTCTTATGTAATAGAGCTATGATAAACAGAACAATAAAAAATATTAACTTTGTAATACACCAAATAACAGTATGAAGTGTAAAAGAGCAATTAGATATACAAGCAAAGAAATGAAGAGTGAAAAGAATGCACTCAGTTTCACTTATGAAGCATTATTCTCATTATGCTTTTATCTAAATTTACAAAAAAAAGATAGCTGCAGAAATTTGATGTGATATAGTGAGCTTTTACTCAGGTTTTTAGTTCCCCAAAGTTCATAGACAAATAGACTTAAACCTTTTAGAGATTCAAGTGGGAATGAGTAAGAGCAGAAAATTGTGACAGTTGGAGAATGAGCAAGTGAGGTAGAACTTTTTCTCCTGTATTTCCACCTGTTTTCAGTTTTGGTCTGTCTCTGGGTTGTGAGCAGAGATCTATGAAATAAAGAGATGGCAGAAAAACAATGGAAATATTGTCACTTGGACTCAGTATTAACAAATTGTGAGCTTTGTGCCTTTTGTCTTTGTTTTCTCCATTTAAAAAATTATGGAACTGCATGAAATGCTCTCTAGTGTCCTTCATGGCTTGACCAGCCTATGATTCTGCTGTTGGTTAGGTAAGTTCGTCCTGAAAATGAATAGACTCATAAAACAGTAAGGAAAAAGGGTAACGTTTCCATATGACACTGTGAAATGCCTGTCTAGACTATGAAGCCAAACTGAAAAACAGTTCAAAAATTGTACCTTAAGATTTTAAGAAAAGGAAGGGAAAAGGAGTGTGTACTGAGTGCAAAGCTTCAGTTGCAAAATTTTTTAAATCTTCAAGTATGGTATGCATTACCTACTAAATTATAATTGTCTACAAAAAGAAATTTGAGATGAGCAAATGAAATACTTGTATTTATAATACTGAATAATAATATAAGCACAAAAACATTTTACTATTCAGGATTTAGAATTTAGGATCCAATAATTGAAGATGAAAAATTCTTGGGTCTTCTTGTAGGCAAGCAGATTATTTAGGCCTAACTTCTCTTGTTTCATGAACAAGTACCTGAAAATTTAGAGAAAAATAAATTGTTTCAACCTGTTTTTTTACTAGAAGGCCCCCCCTCCCCACAAATACAGAATCAGAATTGCCATAAATTTCTAAACTGGTGAAATTCCAATTAGTGCTCTGTTTTATTTTTCACTATGCAGGTTCTGAATGATAAATTTTTCTGAGCTTAGGCCTAATATTTGAAAAAATCTGCCATAATAAGCAGTCCAATACGTGCCAGAAACTTACAAGGAAAATAATGAAGTCAATGAAGTGAAAAAGAAAAATGAATTAATAGAAAATAGGAGATACATAATGCATCAAAACATTCCCATATAGAAATGAATCATATATTACCTTGTCACATTTAAGCTGTTGTAAATATTTTTTAAGGAGCTCTCCCCTAGAATTTTTATAGAAACTTATATTCTCTATAAAAAAAGAACACAACGGAGCATAAGAGACATAATTTTATGTTTATCTCTGTCTTTGTCCTTACTTAAATCACAGTCAAAAGAGAAGTAGCAGAGAAAAACCTCCTAAGATGCAGAAGGCCTACAGTTGGAAGCTAGGGAAAACAGCAGGAATAAATACTGCAAAAATATAATTAAAAAATAAATGTAAGAATTCATACTGTTAAGAACTCAAAGGAATTTCTGGAAAGCAAGATTGAGAGCTTGTTACTACTGCAGTGGGGTTTGATATTTTGGTGACTTTCAATTCAGTGTTGCATGCTAGCAACAATGGCACCAGCAGCTGATGTGTTTGGTCCTCTGGTTGTTGGTAATCCATACTTCTTTTCCTGGAAGAAAAAGCACTGGATACTGGGAAAGCTTAACAGTGTCCAATATCTTCTGAAGATAGTTTGATTTGTCAAGCAGTTATGTGGACATTAAAAGAGAATGTTAATGCTCACTGTTCCAGTTTCATTCTGAAGAAACAAAGACAAACTCTGGGCTAGACAGGGGAACTTTGCAAGGGTTCTCTCATTTATTGATGTCAACAATGGTATGATACAGACTTTATTATTGCCATTTTATGGATAAGAAAATTAAAACTTGGTGAGGTTAAATAGCTTATCTGATGCAAATGCTATAGTTGGATCTGAACCCAGTGAAATTATTCCAGAGCCCCGACATACTATTCTGTGTCAAATGCTGTGAAAAAAAAAAAAATGCACTGGACATTTGTTAAAAATGGCATGGAAGCTTTGTTTAAGACTATTGTAGTAAAGCTTAAGACTCTTGCAATAAGGGAGAACGATTGAATTCAGCTCTAAATACAATAGGGACAAGTAAGGATTTATAGCCAATGGTTAGAATGAGAGAGTGGATGGAAAAAATTACTAATAGGAGCTTGGTTAAGTATCAGGGGTTGGGGAGGAGAGGAACTTAATTAGGCATCAAGGTGAAGGAATGAGCTTGACTGGAATATTAAGAGTAGGGGAGATGACTGATAAACTATTTTAGCAGGATTCTTTGCTGAAGCTGAGCTCAGCAGGTGAGGAAGAGGAACAAGGATGAGGCCCAGTGTTAGGGGGGTGGTGGAAAACTTCAAGGAGCTTGGTTTGGTCAAGGAGATGAGTTTTCATCAATATTAGAGTTCAGAATAGAAAAAACACAAATATATAATTGTGAAGTTATTTTGGATTTGTTAAATTTGTACTTTCTGGTGTATGATAATAGGCTTTAGAAAACTCTGGGTCCTCATTCCCCAGTGGTCCTTCTTGTCCTGATAAATTACTCATAATCACAGGAACCCCTGATATGCCAGTACTCATTTTGATATGTGAGGGGGATTTAAGAAGAAATAATGTGAAAATGTTCTATTTTTTTCATTGCATAGTTTAATATTTTTTTCATTTAGGTACAACCTACTTCTCTGGATTTTGTGTCTCTTTCACACTTTCCACTCTCCTCCCCATGTAACTCAATCTGTTTTTAGGTTTTCATTTTCAAAACAGACTAAAAAGAAAACTTACTCTGGTTTCTTTCAATGTAGAGTCATATTTTCAACTTTATTTTTTCTCTTAATTAGGTTGTTAAAATGTTTAGTTCCCCTGCTTTCCTAAAATACAAGTGCTATAGCAAAAGATAAACATATTCAACTATTTTAGGATATATACAACCTTAAGTTATCTGTGAAAGCCAGAGTCCTGGAGACATTAGTATGCAAAAGCATGCACCTGAGACTATTTGGTTTCCAAAGCTCCTTCATAACATCCAGTCCTCAAACAACAAACATTCTTTTGCTATTGAAACTGGTTCAGAACAGAACAGAAAGAACAAGGCCTGCTGGTTGAAGCATTGGAGGTAAGCCGACCATTTGCTTCACAAAGCAAAGCTTCACCCTACCTCTCCAAGGCGCTTTCATCTGAAAACTGGGTTTGGAACCAAATAGAAACAAACACTCTCCAGTGGGATTCATCACTTCCTGATTTCAGATGGGCACAAACAGTAGACACTTGTATTTTCCTGCTATTCACATTTTCAGTCAGTTCTGAAACTGAAGGTGTGCTTAAATAATGATGGCCTGTACACATTGCCTTTTCTCCAACTGGGGATTCAGATTCATACTTTCCCAGAGAAAGGTGAAACTGCTTTTCAGGTCAGCTCGCTTAAAGATGGCACAAAATAATATTTGTAAAAAGTTCTTTATAATGAGACAGATAATTGGAAGCATACAGTCTCTGTTGCTACTTAAAAATGCCTTGTAATTATTTTTCTTGATTTTTAGAAGCTGTGGATTTCTGTTTTGAGGCCAGCGAGTAGGGAGGAGAGCGCTTTGGTGGTCCAGATGCTATTAAAATCAGATAATTTAGTCCATGTGACTTTTAACAAGCCATTTGTTTCCCATATTCTCATTTGTGTGTAATTAGCAAAGACTGCAATGCTTTACACCTATACACACAAGTAGTTTGAATGCAGTGCTAATCATCAGTGTGACACTTTCATCTCTGTTACCTTTTAAGAATGGTCAGTCTCTTTTGAAATGGAAATAAAAAATACAAACTAAAACTAAAGCCATGGAAAAGTACTGTTTTGCCTCTAAATCTTCATAATTGTAAAACTCCATTGCTGATCTGACTTATCATTTCAACAAGTCCTAGATGCTACAACCACAAGTGTATGTTGCTCTTGCTCACAAGAGTCTGCTCAACCGTCCCTTATTTAGCCACCTACTCATATGTGGAAGATATCTGTGGACAAAACACTAAAAGCATTGAACTGATTATGTTTGGGGTCAGCTCATGCCAGAAAACTCTTAAAGACCAATTATTTTTTTCTTTGTAATGTAAAATTACATAGGAACAATATCCTCCTATCTTTAAAAAACTTTTCTTAAAAGACAATTGTTAAAGAAAAGAAGCACTAATATTACAGGTGGGTATTCACTTTTTTCTTCTCACAACCTATAAGAAATAAGATTTAAAGACGGGGTCTAAAGAAGAAAACAAGCAGAGATACAAAGAATTAAAATGAAGGACTGACTTATCAATAGTATTAGGCAGGTAGAAATTTAAATATTTAGTAAGTAAGCATTTTATTAAATATTGTATAATGTAGTACCTGAGTAAAAGACACATATAATATCTTTGCAGACCTCTTACATTCCAGTCAGTTATACAGGACAGTGGAAGTAAAAGCACAGTTTCATTTGTTATTAGTCCTAAGAAGCAGGTGAACAGTAAGCTAGAATTGTTCATTCTCTCTTTTTCCTTCTGTGTTAGCATCTATGCTCCAGCACTCTCTCCCCATCTTTACAGGTGTAGAAGGCTTAGAAGGACTTATACAGACCCAGCAACAACAGGAAGACATAAAAAGGCTTTTATTTTTACAAGCAAAATCTTGCTACAGATCTTTATAGAAAAAAGAGAAGAAATACACATTCTATTCTACAAGGCCTTCTTTGTGATAAGGCCGAACGTCATGTTGATTTTTGAATGCTGCAAATCATTAATAATGACCAATTCAAAACTATTCATGGTGAGTAGCAGTAAGGAAATAGTGTCAAAATCTTCATAATTTTTCTATCAGGCTTGAGAGATCTGTTATATTTGGAAGAAGCCTGGTCTGGGAATTTAAAAATCTAAATCCAAAATTTAACAGAATAAAACAAAAACCTCACCATTAAGCAGGCATTGCCTAAGTATTGTGGTTAAAGAAATCACAACCCAAGAAGTAACTTTTGTGTGAGGATATTTTAAAAAATAAGCATCATTGTTAACGATAAAGATCTTACAACATGGTATATTTCTTGAATAAATAAATCCAGAAATTGAGTTTTATTTGGTATCTTTTAATTGCATAAATAATACATTTTGTTTGTGGCTGCTATAGAGAAAAAAATTGACTTTAGTAATTTAACTTTTTTTAATTTATAATTTTTGTAGGTTCCTAGTAGGTATATATATTTATGGGTTATATGAGATGTTTTGATACAGGCATAATAAGTGAAATAAGCACATCAAGATGAATAGGGTAGCCATACCCTCAAGCATTTATCCATTGAGTTGCAAACAATCCAATTATACTCTAAGTTATTTCAGAATGTACAGTTAAGTTATTGACTAGAGTCACTCTGTTGTCCTATGCAATACTGGATCTTATTAATTATTTCAATTTTTTTTTTGTACCCATTAACTATCCCCACCTTTCCATTAGCACACTACTGCCCTTCCTAGCCTCTGGTAAACACCCTTTTAATCTCTATTCCATGAGTTGAATTATTTTGATTTTTAGATCCCACCAATAAGTGAGCATGTGAGATGTTTTTCTGTGCCTGGTTTATTTTATTTAACATAATGATCTCCAGTTCCATCTATGTTTTTGCAAATGACTGGGTCTTACTCTTTTTGGGGGTGCTAAATGGTACTGCATTGTGTATGTGTACCACATTTTCTTTACCCATTCATCTGTTGAGGGACACTTAGGTTACTTCAAATCTTGGCTATTGTAAATAGTGCTGCAACAAACATAAGAGTGCAGATATCTCTTTGATATGCTGATTTCCTTTCTTTTCAGCATATACCCAGCAGGGGGATTGCTGGATCATATGGTAGCTCAATCGTTAGTTTTTGAAGAACCTCCAAACTGTTCTCCATACTGGTCGTACTAATTTACACACCCACCAACAGTGTAAAAGGAAGGGTTCCCTTTCCTCCACCACCTTGCTAGCATTTGTTATTGCCTGTCTTTTGAATAAAAGCCATTTTAAATGAAGTGAGATAATATCTCATTGTGGTTTTGATTTACATTTCTGTGGTGATCGATGATGTTGAGCATCTTTTCATGCTACGTCGCTACCTGGAAATGGCTTCCCATCAATTGTTTTCATGACTCTTGCCTCTACCCTCTGCAGTATCATCCCTTTTCCATTTTGCTCTTTGGCCTCTTTTGAAGAAGGCATTAGAAAATATGCTTTTTAAGGGAGCAAAACAGATTTATGGGCACGTTTCCTGCCTGTAGAAAGTTGGAGATTACCTGAATTTTTTAAATCTTATGGTAACTACCCCTTTTGTTAGCTTAGGGTAGTCACATTTTTGCTAATTGTGACCTCTTAAAAATTTAGTTAATTTTCTATATATTTTATTCCACTCATCTCTTTGTGTCACAAGCTGCCCCTGCAGTTTTTAAAAAAGACATTTCTTGCTTTCTCTAGGCTTCATTGTGGGTATTTTGGGTCCATTAAGTTTCAAAGGAACAAAGTCTTTAAGATTTTTAGGAGTCTTTTTATCTGGTTGAAACGATATAATAGATGCCCCATTAATTTTTTCATATCTCTTAAAGAAAGATGTAAGTACTACATCCTTGATTTTGTTTTTACTACTGTCTTAGTTTATTTTGTGTTGCTACAACAGAATACCTAAGACTAGGTAATTTATAAAGAAAAGAGGTTTATTTAGCTCACAGTTCTACAGGCTGAGAAGTTCAAAGGCATGGTTCTGGCTTCTGGCAAGGACTTTTATGCTATAGAATCATAACATGGCAGGGAAAGTCAAAAGGGAAGGGTGGACACATGTGAAAAGAGAAAATCCAAGGGGTATCCTAGCTTTATAACAACCCACTCTTAAGGAAACTAATTTATTCCCATGAGAACCAATTTAATCTTGCCAGAGGGGGTGCTTACTACCAGGACAATAGCACCAAGCTATTCATAAAGGATCTGCTACCATGACCCCAACACTTCCCATTAGATCCTATCTCATAACACTACCACAATGGAAATAAGGTTTCAAGATGAACTTTTTTGGGAGGAAAGCAAACCATATCCAGTCCATCAAAATAAGTAATATCCAGTCCATAGCAACTACCAAATTTAATCAAATGGCCACAATCTTGATTTAATATTTCCCCAAGGCTATATCATAATTTGATAATATTTAACTCTCTGGAGATAGATAGAAGTAGCTTTATTTTTCAACCTAGCAAGTTTTGGGTTATTTGTATGCCTTCTAAAATATGCTTGTAAACTGAGAAGTTCTCTTGTGAATTTATCTTTGCTTTATAGTGTCTCATTTTGCAAAGCAAAAATTACCAGTTGAAGCTTTGAACATTCTGCCTGGAAAACATATTTTTCAAGAGGACAAATTCATTAGGTAGATTCTCTATCTTCCATATTATAGTTGGTGGCAGTCTTGTGACTATATAACATAGACATTTATTTTAGTGTCTTGTATTAGTTCCTTTGCCTTTCTTAAAGACTCAAAACATTTTCTCACCCTCTATCATCTGACCCCAAACCAATACATACCATTAGTGAGAAAAATCACATGGCTGAGCTCAACGTCAAAGGGAAGGGCAATATATTTCAAATATAGCAGGAGAAAATACAAATTCAAATGACAAAGACATGGATACATGAGGCGAAGAGTTGAGGCAATAATACATTCTACTACATTCTGTTCATGTGGTGAATTACATTGACTATTCATGTTAAATCACACTTGCATTCCTATAAGCAACATGATTTTATCCTGACAGATTATACTTTTTGTGTTTTGCTGGATTCAATTTGTTAATATTTTAAAAGTTTGAGTTTATGCTACTGAGAGATTTACTGATTTTTTTTCTTTCATGCCAATTTCTGGTATTAATATGGTTTTGGCCTCATAAAAATGAGTTGGAAATATTTTCCTACCTTTCTATTTTCTGGGTCCATGTAAGAATGGTATTGTTTCTTAAACAATTGATAGAGTTTATTAATAAAGCCATGCATACCTGGAGATTTTTTGGTTGCAGGAAGGCTTTTAAAATATGAATTGAATTTATTTAATGCTTATAGGTCATATACCAGTTAAACTCTTACAGTTTGCCTTTTATTGTGTGCACTTGAGTCCCATCACCCAATTCTTGAGACCTTATTGGGAAGCAGCTGATAATCAGTTTCAGGTGCTTTTTATCTGTTAGGAGCTGGCTTTTCCCTGGTGCCAGCTGTGACTAATTATTACTTTAGCGAGGCAATTAACAACCAACTGACCATCACCTGATGTTTGCCCAATACCCCTCGTGTATGTGGGCGGGGGAGCAGCTGGAGAAGCCCTCTCTTGTCTTGCTCATACCCGACTAGTTACCCACTGTAACATTTCCCCTCTCAAGAGTCCGAGACGTGAATTCTTTGAGGAAAATGGATGAAGGTCAGAATTCTATAACTGCTTTCTTTTGACATAGGGGTGGTGGTGGTAGTTTGGTGGGGTTTGGCCTGTTGCTTGCTCTCAGGGCAGGAGGGGCTCTATTGATTGGTGAAAGCAGTATCTAGCCAGGTCCAAGGAAGACAGGGGCATGATTTCCCCTCTGTCATGTCTCATTTATGGACAGTCTAGGGGTCCCCTGTAGAAGAGTAACTCGACTATTAAGAGTATGGTATCCCTCACTGAGGATCATCTAGAGCTTGATGGCCTGAAGTCAGGAGGAGATAAATTGGGTTATTAGATTTAGAAGAATGTCGAAATAAGGGGGTGAAAACAACTCTAAAAATTTCCAAAGTTGCTGACACCCCCAGGTAGCTGGTAGCTATAGTCATGCCTGCCTGCTGAG